AAATCTTAACCATACAGCATACAATTACATTCTAGATGATTCTGTGCTTCCAACTTTGGGGAAGGCCCTTTCCTGTTTCAGCATGACAATGCCCCCGTGCACAAAGCGAGGTCCATACAGAAATAGTAGTAGTAGTGACTGTGGTAGTAGTATGTAGTAGTGACTGTGGTAGTAGTACGTAGTAGTAGTGACTGTGGTAGTAGTACGTAGTAGTGACTGTGGTAGTAGTATGTAGTAGTGACTGTGGTAGTAGTACGTAGTAGTAGTGACTGTGGTAGTAGTACGTAGTAGTGACTGTGGTAGTAGTACGTAGTAGTGACTGTGGTAGTAGTACATAGTAGTGACTGCAGTAGTAGTATGTTGTAGTGACTGTGGTAGCAGTACGTAGTAGTGACTGCAGTTGTAGTATGTTGTAGTGACTGTGGTAGTAGTACGTAGTAGTGACTGTGGTAGTAGTAGTAGTAGTGACTGTGGTAGTAGTAGTCGTAGCCGGCCGCGACCGGGAGACCCATGAGGCGGCGCACAATTGGCCCAGCGTCGTCCAGGGTAGGGGAGGGAATGGCCGGCAGGGATGTAGCTCAGTTGGTAGAGCATGGCGTTTGCAACGCCAGGGTTGTGGGTTTGATTCCAGCAATAAAATAATGTATGCACTCACTAACTGTAAGTCGCTCTGGATAAGAGCGTCTGCTAAATGACTAAAATGTAAATGTAAATGTAGTAGTAGTGACTGTGGTAGTAGTACGTAGTAGTGAATGTGGTAGTAGTACGTAGTAGTGACTGTGGTAGTAGTACGTAGTAGTGACTGTGGTAGTAGTACGTAGTAGTGAATGTGGTAGTAGTACGTAGTAGTGACTGTGGTAGTAGTACGTAGTAGTGACTGTGGTAGTAGTACGTAGTAGTGACTGTGGTAGTAGTATGTTGTAGTGACTGTGGTAGTAGTAGTAGTGACTGTGGTAGTAGTAGTAGTAGTAGTGACTGTGGTAGTAGTATGTAGTAGTGACTGTGGTAGTAGTAGTAGTAGTGACTGTGGTAGTAGTAGTAGTAGTGACTGTGGTAGTAGTAGTAGTAGTGACTGTGGTAGTAGTACGTAGTAGTGACTGTGGTAGTAGTATGTAGTAGTGACTGTGGTAGTAGTAGTAGTGACTGTGGTAGTAGTAGTAGTAGTAGTGACTGTGGTAGTAGTATGTAGTAGTGACTGTGGTAGTAGTAGTAGTAGTGACTGTGGTAGTAGTAGTAGTAGTGACTGTGGTAGTAGTACGTAGTAGTGACTGTGGTAGTAGTACGTAGTAGTGACTGTGGTAGTAGTACGTAGTAGTGACTGTGGTAGTAGTACGTAGTAGTGACTGTGGTAGTAGTATGTAGTAGTGACTGTGGTAGTAGTACGTAGTAGTGACTGTGGTAGTAGTATGTAGTAGTGACTGTGGTAGTAGTAGTAGTAGTAGTGACTGTGGTAGCAGTATGTAGTAGTGAATGTGGTAGTAGTACGTAGTAGTAGTGACTGTGGTAGTAGTACATAGTAGTAGTGACTGTGGTAGTAGTATGTAGTAGTGACTGTGGTAGTAGTATTTAGTAGTGACTGTGGTAGTAGTACACAGTAGTAGTGACTGTGGTAGTAGTATGTAGTAGTGACTGTGGTAGTAGTACGTAGTAGTGACTGTGGTAGTAGTACGTAGTAGTAGTGACTGTGGTAGTAGTATGTAGTAGTGAATGTGGTAGTAGTACGAAGTAGTGACTGTGGTAGTAGTATGTAGTAGTGACTGTGGTAGTAGTACGTAGTAATAGTGACTGTGGTAGTAGTACGTAGTACTGACTGTGGTAGTTGTATGTAGTAGTGACTGTGGTAGTAGTAATTAGTAGTGACTGTGGTAGTAGTACGTAGTAGTGACTGTGGTAGTAGTATGTAGTAGTGACTGTGGTAGTAGTATGTAGTAGTGACTGTGGTAGTAGTATGTAGTAGTGACTGTGGTAGTAGTAATAGTTACTGTGGTAGTAGTAGTAGTAGTGACTGTGGTAGTAGTATGTAGTAGTGACTGTGGTAGTAGTACGTAGTAGTGACTGTGGTAGTAGTATGTAGTAGTGACTGTGGTAGTAGTAGTAGTGACTGTGGTAGTAGTAGTAGTAGTGACTGTGGTAGTAGTAGTAGTAGTGACTGTGGTAGTAGTACGTAGTAGTGACTGTGGTAGTTGTATGTAGTAGTGACTGTGGTAGTAGTACGTAGTAGTGACTGTGGTAGTAGTAGTAGTAGTGACTGTGGTAGTAGTACGTAGTAGTGACTGTGGTAGTAGTAGTAGTAGTGACTGTGGTAGTAGTACGTAGTAGTGACTGTGGTAGTAGTACTACTAATAATACTAGTAGTAGTTGTTTATCTAGAGTGGTCTTGTTGAAACAAGGCACACTCATAACTATACGTCAGAATGATGAAAGAGGAAACCCAGGTGGGTCACATGGGGTAAATCAGGAGGAATGGAGGCCTCTAGTACAGAAGGATTCAGCAGTAGCAATACTCACTGTTCTCTGAAGTCTTTTTAGCTGACGTCAGCTCAGATTCTGTCCTACTCTTTCAGAGAGACCAAAGTGACGTCAACATGTATTTGATTCTCTACCACAGTAGTGTGAGTGTTCTGTGTATATCTTTATTCCACCTGAGATTTTACTGCAGGACTCATTCATGCATAGCATATACACTAATCTGTAAAACATTTAAATATGTGCAGATAAATAAAGTCAACAAAATGGAGGTAGAGCCCTGTGCACAGATATGCAAGGTGCTGGCACTGGCAGGAAAGCAGCTTGGAAACCCAAACACATATTTGCCTAGCCCTAGGCCTAGAAAACGACACACTTGAAGAGACAACGACTGATCTCGCTGAAAAAACATTTTCATTGTGCAAGATTAAAATAAGTATTTAATCAAGGTCGGTCATTGACTGTTGAAGTGTGTGGTTTTATACACAGTATAATACATTAATACATGTTTTGCAGGACAGAACGTCCCCACATACCCTTTAAATATAGACCTACTCTGCATTATCACTTTACTGCAGCCTCTAGTGTTCTGCATTATCACTTTACCGCAGCCTCTAGTGTTCTGCATTATCACTTCACTGCAGCCTCTAGTGTTCTGCATTATCACTTCACTGCAGCCTCTAGTGTTCTGCATTATCACTTTACTGCAGCCTCTAGTGTTCTGCATTATCACTTCACTGCAGCCTCTACCGTTGAACACTATCTCTCTGAGATCATCTTTATTAGATTTTATTATACAGTGCCTTCGGAAAGTATTCAGACCCCTTAACTTTTTCCAGAAGGGAAGGGTACCAAAACATTTCTGCAGCATTGAAGATCCCAATCATTCTTAAATGGAAGAAGTTTGGAACCACCAAGACTCTTCCTAGAGCTGGCCGCCCGGCCAAACTGAGCAATCGGGGGAGAAGGGCCTTGGTCAGGGAGGTGACCAAGAACCCGATGGTCACTCTGACAGAGCTCTAGAGTTCCTCTGTGGAGATGGGAGAACCTTCCAGAAGGAAACCATCTCTGCAGCACTCCACCAATCAGGCCTTTATGGCAGACTGGCCAGATGGAAGCCACTCCTCAGTAAAAGGCACATGACAGCACGCTTGGAGTTTGCCAAAAGGCACCTAAAGACTCTCAGACCATGAAAAACAAGATTCTCTGGTCTGATGAAACCAAGATTGAACTATTTGGCCTGAATTCCAAGCGTCACTTGTAGAGGAAACCTGGCACCATCCCTACGGTGAAGCATGGTGGTGGCAGCATCATGATGTGGGGATGTTTTTCAGCGGCAGAGACTGAGAGACTAGTCAGGATCGAGGCAAAGATGAACGGAGCAAAGTACAGAGAGATCCTTGATTGAAACCTGCTCCAGAGTGCTCATGACCTCATACTGGGGTGAAGGTTCACCTTCCAACAGGACAACAACCCTAAGCTTACAGCCAAGACAAATACAGGAGTGGCTTCGGGACAAGTCTCTGAATGTCCTTGAGTGGCCCAGCCAGAGCCCGGATTTGAACCCGATCTAACATTTCTGGAGAGACCTGAAAATAGCTGTGCAGCGACGCTCCCCATCCAACCTGAAACTCCCCAAATACAGGTGTGCCATGCTTGTAGCGTCATACCCAAGAAGACTCGAGGCTGTAATCGCTGCCAAAGGTGCTTCAACAAAGTACTGAGTAAAGGTCTGAATAATTATGTAAATATGATATTTCAGTTTTTTATTTTTTATAAATTAAATAAAAATGTCTAGAAACCTGTTTTTGCTTTGTCATTATGGGGTATTGTGTGTAGATTGATGAGGGGGAAAAACCAATGTAATACCTTTTAGAATAAGGCTGTAACGTAACAAAATGTGGGAAAAGTCAAGGGGTCTGAATACTTTCCCAATGCACTGTATGTATTATATTTTTCTAGACGTTCTCCTCTGTACAGCTTGCAGTAGCTTCCGGGGCAGAGATGGAAACTGGTTTTGAAGCATCTTGCAGTTCTTCACATTCTTTGCTATGCAGTCCACACAGATCCTGTAAGACAAAACAACATGTTTAAAGGGGAAATCAGCAGTTGCTACATCGATTTTTGGACATATAAATTAATGATATGTACCCATTGCTTCTTGAAGACTATAACTTATCAATGCCTCATGAGCTTAGTTCAACTGTCTACCCAATCAGAAACCCTAAATGTAAGCTTGTTTTACTCTAATGTTTGTAAACAAAGTGAATGTAAACAAACACCAAATATCCTCCAAACATGGTTAAAACTATCATTTTGATATCATGGCTGGTCAGTCCTTCCATCCATAGCTCTGTCTATACATTTGAGTCGTTACATTTCTCCAGCCCCATCCCTCAGTCTTTTACCAAAACAGGGGCGGGGAAAACACGTTGTTATTGTTTCTACTGCTGATTGCTGCTTTACGGGACAACGAAAACGAACATTACATGTGATGTAAATAAAATCTGTGATTATTATGAGAAAGTTTACCGAAAGAGGGGATAAGGCTGGGTCTGGAAAACAAGTGCATCGTTGCTGTGGCCCTGAAACAATGTGAAAACGAACAGTTAGTTGTAGTGTCAATGATTCTTCATAAACCAGGGTTACTGTAATGATTTGGCTGAAGGCTTTCATCATACCGTCAAATTCTCATACGTTCCTACTTGGAGGATGTAGTCACAACTACCCCCAAACACAATGACATCAGAGTCCTTTGCTTGGCTTGCTGTGTGCCACAACCTGCAGGGGGGGGAAGTCAATGAAATGGGGGATTTCATCAAAGTACAGAGAATCAGTGCACTCAGTATAATCATTGTACATTCTAGGCTAATTTCTCTTCACTGAATGATCTGCACATACAGACTTCAGATTAGATGGAAACTTTTATTTATCAGTGAGTCTTACCAGTGATACCAGTTTAATCAGATTAGTAGCTAGACGCTAAACTGACAGCTACTGTACTACCTTGGTTTGTTGTTGTTTGGATGTTCAATCTCCCTCCATGTCTTTGTCTCAACATCTAAAACCCATCTATCACCTACAGAAACATAATAGATATTATGAGAAAGAAATAGCTCCGTGGAACACAAGGCATTCTGGGAGGGTCAAACTGTTGAGTAACAGCTGAGTAAGGATTTAGTCCAACTGGGACTACATTGGGTAAATAACTTACTCATTGGTTTGCAGTCAACACTCAGTCCACCGAATAGAAACAAAGTGCTGTCAGATACTGCAGTGAGGCTGTGCCACGACCTTCCACCTGGCACATTGGATGCTGCCACTCTGGAGAAGACATTTGGAGGGTAACAGTTAAAAGTCTTAAAAACACACCAAAGCTGTTATTATGATAACAGTAGACCATTTTTTAAAGATGAGCATATGAAAGAGTGAAATATAAATACCTACACTTCAGACCATGTCCATGATTTCAGATCTAGACAATGAATGTCACTTGGTGCGGTTTCCTAAAAGGAAGGGCAACGAACTGAACACCATTCCAAAAACAGGTCCACAAACTTGAGCCAAGTATTAAACAGTCAGCAATGTGATCCCATTCATCTTAGCAATGTTTTAGGGAATCTGTGTCTCTGCAGCAATGCAATACAGAAGGTGAGGAGGAGTTCAGATGAACAGAGTACTCACCAGTACTCTCCCCCCATAGACATACCCTTTATGACCAATTGTTGCACCTGCATGGGCAGCTCTGGGGGCAGGAGCACGACCCTGTAGTCAGAAAGAGGTACTTACGGTACAGGTACAAAGAACTATGTGGCTTGGCTGCTTGTGTGCAAAGAACTCATTGGTAACTAATTGGTGCATGTATAACCAGTGTCACTGTGCTAGCTTAGCATATAGCGCTGCCTCCCTCAACTTGTCTATGACTGGGCTTGAACCAGGGTCCTCTACCTCTCCTCTGACTGGGCTTGAACCAGGGTCCTCTACCTCTCCAGTGACTGGGCTTGAACCATGGTCCTCTACCTCTCCAGTGACTGGGCTTGAACCAGGTCCCTCTACCTCTCCTCTGACTGGGCTTGAACCAGGGTCTTCTATGTCACTAACACATGTGACCACCTGCTTGACAATGTAGGAACTGATTGAGCTATATACAACAGGTACTGATTGGATAGCTCCATCGGCGACATTTCAAGCTATCTGTGGAGTAAGGTTACGCTACGTTCTTAACTCTGTTCCACATGGTGAAGTTATGTTGTGATGTAAACATACAGTATGTGTCTTACAGTATGTATATGTCTTACAGAGCTCTGTGGTTCTCTCCAGCTGGCTAGTGTTGTGTCAAAAACATGGACTTCATTGTTCCATCCCCAACCAACGTTCTGCTCCTACAGAACACACAATATTTTACTGATCAATACAACAAAGTGAAAATAGTGGTTGTAATTCATACATTTGGACACAATCACAAAAAAAAAAGCGAAAATGTACCAATGATGCCGTGTCCATGATGAAGCTTTTGTCATCCATGATGTCATCAAGTGTCTTGTGACCATATCCACCAAAGTAGGTGACCCTACAGAATGGAAGATTCTCAAAGTAGGTGACCCTACAGAATGGAAGATTCTCAAAGTAGGTGACCCTACAGAATGGAAGATTCTCAAAGTAGGTGACCCTACAGAATGGAAGATTCTCAAAGAAGGTGACCCTACAGAATGGAAGATTCTCAAAGTAGGTGACCCTACAGAATGGAAGATTCTCAAAGTAGGTGACCCTACAGAATGGAAGATTCTCAAAGTAGGTGACCCTACAGAATGGAAGATTCTCAAAGAAGGTGACCCTACAGAATGGAAGATTCTCAAAGTAGGTGACCCTACAGAATGGAAGATTCTCAAAGTAGGTGACCCTACAGAATGGAAGATTCTCAAAGTAGGTGACCCTACAGAATGGAAGATTCTCAAAGTAGGTGACCCTACAGAATGGAAGATTCTCAAAGTAGGTGACCCTACAGAATGGAAGATTCTCAAAGTAGGTGACCCTACAGAATGGAAGATTCTCAAAGTAGGTGACCCTACAGAATGGAAGATTCTCAAAGTAGGTGACCCTACAGAATGGAAGATTCTCAATTGGGATAAATTACAAGATTCTCCCAAAGTCAAAACAATCAACATGGGGAACCGCCCGCATTATTTGTGTTAAATATTTAGTTGGTCCAGGCCACTATTTTTACAACACCCCCAATAGTAGCCTTTAAAGGGATACTGCAAGATTCTGTCAATTAAACTGTTTCTACCCAGAGTCCAGTGCAACTGGACCTGTAGACTTCCAGTCATTGTACTAAGGCCAGTTAGCATTGGCTAATTGCTAATTGCCAGAATCTCACAGTGTCCCCTTACATGTGTCATTTGAACCCTGACTCTCTTCCTGTTTATGCCAATACTGCAATGGGCATTGGCGTTGCATTCTTATATTATATGTTACTGACCTGTTGTTGTAAACCCAGCAGCACAGCTTATCTCTGGGTGAAGGAGGGGAGCCACTCTCAGCTTTCACTCTCCTCCAACTGTAGTCCCCATCCAGGAGGTTGACACAGCAAAGCTGCAAGCACACATCTTTTCAGCATAAATAATAAATGTGTGTCTGAACCTACTGTTTGAACCAATCTGAACTGTCTCGTAAACAATGTAAGCCTTAATAATAATGAATAAGCTTTTGGTGATTTTCTAGAAAATGTTTGCACATGTAGATCAGGGGCACTACAGTTTCTGTCGAGCTAGCTCACCTGATTGGTCTGTCCGCTGTCATCATATCCCCCGAATATGTACATGTGACCATTCAGAAAGCAGCTACAGGTGCCTGACATAGGGGGCGGGACCTCTCCTGACATTTGACACATTTCCCTTCAGAAGATAAATGAACAAACCAACTATGAACACACACAGCATACAAATTTAAGCTCCAGGCAATCTAGTGCAAATTTGGCCTGGGGGTAGGCTTAACTTTCTGGGTTCAAACTGAAGATAAGACCAGTGTACCACTACAGACCAGTCTAGCACTATAGACCACTATAGACCAGTCTAGCACGATAGACCACTACAGACCAGTCTAGCACTATAGACCACTACAGACCAGTCTAGCACGATAGACCACTACAGACCAGTCTAGCACTATAGACCACTATAACCATCACACTATAAAAACCAAAACCATCTAGCACTAAACCATTTGACCATCTAGCATAAGACCCTACAGCCCCTCTAGACGTGACCACTTAGACCATCTAGCACTATGACCACTAGCCTATAACCCTATAGCCCAGTCTAGCACATGACCACTATAACCTCTGCACTTAGCCCACAAAACCATCTAGCCTATGACCAGTATGCCATCCTAGCATTTAGACCCTACGACCATCTAGCACATAGACCACTATAGCCATCTAGCACTATAGACCACTAGCACTATAGACCAATTGACCAGTCTGCCATGACCACTATAGCCAGTCTAGCACTTAACCCTTAGACCATCTAGCACTATAGACCACTATAACCATCTAGCCAAAGCCCAGTCTAGCACTATAGACCACTATAGACCAGTCTAGCACTATAGACCACTATAGACCACTCTAGCACCATAGACCAGTATAGACCAGTCTAAACTACTTTTATTCAACTAGCCCCAGGACACACAGTGACATGAAGCATTCTTCCGCAACGATTAAAGAAAGAGATAAATACTAAGACTGAGACACATCTGCTGCTGTATTCAACACCTCCCATATTGGAACACTAAATGACTGTCATTTGTATAATTGTAATACAATCAATAACATTACTGTTCATTTCTAGTAAACTATGTGATAACACAGTTTTAATATATAATGTAATAGTATCCCTGATATGATACTGAGATGCAGAATGATGAAAGTTGATTGCCAAACTGTTGAACATTACACTTTAAGGCTCTATCTAGTCAATCAAAACCTGTCAATCAAAAATAGCATTCTTTCTGCGCTGCGCATTCCAGTCTTTACTCTGTGTCTATCATCTACTGTTTATCTCACAGTGAGGGAAAAAAAGTATTTGATCCCCTGCTGATTTTGTACGTTTGCCCACTCACAAAGACATTATCAGTCTATAATTTTAATGGTAGGTTTATTTGAACAGTGAGAGACAGAATAACAACAAAAAAATCCAGAAAAATGCATGTCAAAAATGTTATGAAATTGATTTGCATTTTAATGAGGGAAATAAGTATTTGACCCCTCTGTAAAACATGACTTAGTACTTGGTGGCAAAACCCTTGTTGGCAATCACAGAGGTCAGACGTTTCTTGTAGTTGGCCACTAGGTTTGCACACATCTCAGGAGGGATTTTGTCCCACTTCTCTTTGCAGAGCTTCTCCAAGTCATTAAGATTTCGAGGCTGACGTTTGTCAACTCGAACCTTCAGCTCCCTCCACAGATTTTCAATGGGATTAAGGTCTGGAGACTGGCTAGGCCACTCCAGGACCTTAATGTGCTTCTTCTTGAGCCACTCCTTTGTTGCCTTGGCCGTGTGTTTTGGTTCATTGTCATGCTGGAATACCCATCCACGACCCATTTTCAATGCCCTGGCTGAGGGAAGGAGGTTCTCACCCAAGATTTGACGATACATGGCCCCGTCCATCGTCCCTTTGATGCGGTAAAGTTGTCCTGTCCCCTTAGCAGAAAAACATCCCCAAAGCATAATGTTTCCACCTCCATGTTTGACGGTGGGGATGGTGTTCTTGGGGTCATAGGCAGCTTTCCTCCTCCTCCAAACACGGCGAGTAGAGTTAATGCCAAAGAGCTCGATTTTGGTCTCATCTGACCACAACACTTTCACCCAGTTCTCCTCTGAATCATTCAGATGTTCGTTGGCACACTTCAGACGGCCCTGTATATGTGCTTTCTTGAGCAGGGAGACCTTGCGGGCGCTGCAGGATTTCAGTCCTTCACGGCGTAGTGTGTTACCAATTGTTTTCTTGGTGACTATGGTCCCAGCTGCCTTGAGATCATTGACAAGATCCTCCCGTGTAGTTCTGGGCTGATTCCTCACCGTTCTCATGATCATTGCAACTCCACGAGGTGAGATCTTGCATGGAGCCCCAGGCCGAGGGAGATTGACAGTTATTTTGTGTTTCTTCCATTTGCAAATAATCGCACCAACTGTTGTCACCTTCTCACCAAGCTGCTTGGCGATGGTCTTGTAGCCCATTCCAGCCTTGTGTAGGTCTACAATCTTGTCCCTGACATCCTTGGAGAGCTCTTTGGTCTTGGCCATGGTGGAGAGTTTGGAATCTGATTGATTGATTGCTTCTGTGGACAGGTGTCTTTTATACAGGTAACAAACTGAGATTAGGAGCACTCCCTTTAAGATTGTGCTCCTAATCTCAGCTCGATACCTGTATAAAAGACACCTGGGAGCCAGAAATCGTTCTGATTGAGCGGGGGTCAAATACTTATTTCCCTCATTAAAATGCAAATCAATTTATAACATTTTTGACAGGCGATTTTTTTTTTTTTTAGACGCAAAATAATTAAAAAAAAGTGACATTTTTGGTAGTGGGAAACACCATGGGGTCAAAAACTTTTTTCCCTCCATTAAAATTTGGCAAAAATCACTTTTTCACATTTTTTTTGACATGTTTGTTTTTAAATTTTTTTTTTTGGTTTTTCTGTCTTAAACTTTCAAATTTTTAAAAAACCCCCCCTTTATTTATAGCTGTTTTTCCTTGTAGTCCCCTCAAACCCCAACAAAATTTTTTTCCTCTTCTAAATAAATTTTGGGGAGGTTTTTAATTTTTTTTTAAAAAAATTTTTTAAGGTTGGTTTAGTTAGGGTTAAGTGGGTTGGTTTTAAGGGAAGGGTAGGTAGGGGGGGTTTTTTTTTTATTTTAATTGGTCGGGGGGGTTTTTTTCGGTTCCTTTTTTTTATTGTTTGGGTTTGTTTGGGGGGGGTTTTTTAGGGTTTGGGTTTTTTTGGGGTTGGGGGGGATAAAATTTTGGTTTGGGTGGGTTTGGGGTTGTTGGTTTTGGGTTTTTTGGTTTAAGTTTGGTTTGGTTAAAATTTTTTTTTGATTTGTTGGGTAAAAAATTTGTTTTTATTGTTTTTTTAATTTCTAATTTAAATTTATGGGTAAAAGTTAGTTATGGAAAAAAAAAGGTTTTCCCCCCTTTTTTGAAAATTAATTGTGAAAAGTTAATTTTAGGGGGGTTTAAAATAATTAAAAATTTACATTTTTTTAAAATAGTTTAGGAACCTTTTAAAATGTTTGAAGGCTTAAGTTCCCCCCCAGAAAACAATATCCCCCCCTACCGGTTACCCCAACAAAAACCCCCAACCCTTTTTCCCGGGGAATTGGTTTAAAAAGATTAAAAACAAAAAAAAAAAAGAAAAAGAATTCCCAAACCCCCAGGCCCAAACTTTTTTTTCCTGGGAAAAATTTTCCCGCCAGGCTTTTAACCCCGCGAAAAATTTTTTTCTTGAACTTTTTTTTTCCCCCAATTGGGTTAAGTTTAGGGTTTAAGGGTTAAGTTAGGGTAACGGGTTAAGGTTAGGGTAAGGGTTAAGGTTAGGGTAAGGGTAAGTTTAGGGTTAGGGTTAGGGTAAAGGTTAGGGTTTGAGCTAGGGTTAGGGTTAGTAGTGGGTTAGGGTTAGGGTAAGGTTAGGGTTTTGAGCTAGGGTTGGGGTTAGTTTAGGGTTAGGGTTAGGATAAAGGTTAGGGTTTGAGCTAGGGTTGGGGTTAGTAGATAGTTAGTTGAAATGTTACTGATAGTCTGTAGAGCATCTACAGATGGACTATCCAAATACAGTGTTACCCAAACAACTTCTCCATTCATATTCTATGCAATATGTGATATACAGCCCATAATCAAAAACACAATATGTTATAATTCCATTGATATTCTTACCATACACCTCTGTCTAAGTCATACAACCAGATTTCATCACTGGGTAGGAAAACGTCACTGCCAGCGGTCGACTGCAGAAAAAAAAAAAGGTTTCCTCCCATTACTAGTCGAAAAACATGAATATAGTCGATCAGCAGCATGTATGAGATGCAGTACGTGTGAATGCTAAACATCAATTCAAAACAACACTATCAATTAGCAATGCTTTTCAAGATAGTTGCAGGAAGGCACTTTTCAAACAGTGTTTGAGGCTTACCATGTATCCTCCCCAGACATACAGAGTACTCCCCTCTACTACAGCTGTGTGGCCACTTCGCTCAAGGGCGACAAGCTCCACACAGTGTTTCTCAACGGCAGAATCCATAGGTTCTAGAAAAGTTCTTAGAAAGTGCAACAAAAAAAGAAAAGAGAGAAAGAAATGTACAAAGATCTCCAGGCCAGGACTTTTAATTCTCTGCCAGGACTTTTGTTTCTCTGCCAGGACTTTTGTTTCTCTGCCAGGACTTTTGTTTCTCTGAACCCAAATCTGTTTCAAATGTTTGATTTTTCATAGGCCCAAGCTGCTCATTTTGACTACAGACTTTGGCAGCGAATAGAATGTGAAGGGGCTGGCTGTGTTTAAGTAGCTGTTTCTGAGACGCTCCAACCGCCAGGAGAAAATAAGTTGTTCTTGCCCTGACAGCGTTTGTTGTAGCGGAGGGTCAAAGGTCATGTAATCTTGTCACCCTACCATTAACCCCTCTGGCTACGCCCCTTACCTGAAAATGCCACAACACTCACCGAATACCTCTCCTCTGCCTTTCCCCCTCTCCTTATACCACTCCCTATGAGCAGTTTGTTTTCCTGTGGTTAGCGGTGTGTGCTGGTTTACGCAACGGGCAGCTCTTCCCTTCACTTCACTCATATGGAATTCTGAAGGCCGAACATATCATGTGTCATGTTTGAAATAGCCTGGTGGGACCAGCCTGGTCGTGCGATAGTTCACATTCTGTTGCACGTCACGTATCAAGTGAAGTGAAAGGAAACGTGAGCCAGCAGTCTGTATTATGATTGGATGGAAACAACCACCACCCATCCATCCTCACAGAATCCATACAGAACTGATTGATTGACATATTTTATGCGTCTCCCTCATAAGCCCTTTTAACTGTGCTTATTCACAACGTTTACTGAGTCTTTTAGATAGTTCTGCTGGGCTGACGTGTCTTAGCCCATGCACACAGCAGAATGGATCCAGTGAGCTATATGGATCTATTGTTGGAAGAGTTGGTGAGAAAACGACTAAAGGTAAAATAGCATGCAACAGTGTAAAAGTGTTCTACAGGGTTCCTATAAATCAGAGTATTAATACACTGTACAACTTTTCCCTGTAAATTTGCAGGATTATACTGGCACCAGAGTTGCCAGTTTATTACTGTAATTTTGCTTTACAGCAGAGATGCTGTAATATATTTCACATTACTATTTTCCTTACTGTAAAACATTACAGCATCTCTGCTGTAAAGTAAAATTACAGTATTAAGCTGGCAACTCTGGTGCCAGTATAATGTCGTAAATTTACAGGGAAATTCTCCCTGAAATCTAAATGTAAGAAAAACAATACATTTGTAGAGAAAATAAATTTTTTCAAATTGGTAACAAAATTATCAACAGAATTGACAGTAGAAGTAACAACAGTTAATACATATATAACCAAATAAGAGCATCATTACAACACTAATGTAAAAACGATATTGTGTTTGTGGGGTGTAGGGGAGAGAGACAAAGAGAGAGAGGGAGATGGAGTTAAAATTGGGATTGGGTACAATCCTAGAGCTATGATCAAGGGCAACTCTATTTGGAGAAAGGGGATTCAGAGGCAGTGAAACACACAACGGGACAGGAGATCATCCAGGAGAAAGAATTCAGCGCAGCATCAGGTGTTCTTCATGGGGCTCCGTAACAATCCTTCTCAGTTCCGATTTGTCAGCTCTTCTCACCCCTAGGACAAGCGTAGAAAAATAAAAGAATAGAATGAGAGACAGAGAGCACCAGGGCTGTGACTCTGTGGGTAAAAAGACAGGGGACAAGGGACATATCAAGCTGGTGTGTGTGTGTGCACTTACCTCACTAGAGGTCTTCATTTAAACTCAGTGAGCTCTTTGAAGAATGTTGCAATGTAGGGGTTGAGAACAGTTGGCTTCCTCTGGGCCACCTTGTCACGCGTTTTGTCTCATCTTGAGGGTTCATCATCTTGGGTTGATTCGAACCAGGAATCTGTACAGCCATGTATCCAATATAGTTTATGAAATATGAAATCTATTGAGGCATTAAACAAATACAAATAAGACCGCTGGGTGATTCTCATGAAACCAGTTGTAAACATGTCTGTAGCAAATTGAGTTACAAAACCATGATGCATCTGCAAAAATCCACTGTCATTCTGAGGACTAAGATGTCTCGTTCTTTGGTGAAGTGTCTTATTTTAAATACATTTTGAATTTTTGCCTGAATTTTGTACATTTTCACCCCAAATTCTCATTACCGAAATGCATCCAGATTAAATTCTCATTACCGAAATGCGTCCAGATTAAATTCTCATTACCGAAATGCGTCCAGATTAAATTCTCATTACCAAAATGCATCCAGATTAAATTCTCATTACCGAAATGCATCCAAATTAAATTCTCATTACCGAAATGCATCCAGATTCAATTCTCGAGTCATTTTATAACATTTTACTTCAGAAAAACCGAACTGATTTTATATGTTGCTGTAGTTTGTCCATAAATCATAAAAATTGTATATTAGTTGAAGTTCACATTAAACTATAATATTTATTACGTACAAACACAATGTCTGTGGACATGTGTCTCATTACTGTGACACTTTTTCAAGTTCCTGCAAAAACTCCAATCAGTAAAAGAAAAAAGTTGTATTCACCCATGATGCATCATCTAGACTAGAGGAGTAGTAGAAGCTAAGTTAATTTATTTGGTTTTATGAGGTTCTTATTCTCATACACCCCCTTTACCCCACTTGGTCTTCTCATAACCGAAACGGCTAAAAAGCTCAAATTGGGAAAATGTCAGATTTCATTTTATAATAATTGTTTAATTAAATGTAAAAAAAAAATATATATATATATATATATATATATATATATATATATATATATATATATATATATATATGTGTGTGTTATGTTTATTATTATTATTATTAGGGGAGCAATGTAATTTTTTTTATTAGAAATTGATTTGTTTATTTCTTTTTTGGACTGTTGCGGTAATGACAATTTTGTGGAAATTGTGGTAAAATGCTGATAAAGTATCTAATAAAAAAACATAATAATATTTATGAAATAGATAGGTACATATCCTAATCTCAGTGATCCAAGAGGATATTTCGTGAAAGACGACACTTGAGATTTTTTGTGTAAAATGTCAGTTTTGTGAGAATGACACAGCTAGATACACCTACTTCAAACCCTAGCTAACTAATAAAACATTGCTATAGTCTACACAATACCACAGATTATTTTACCAGACTCACAACATTTTATTTTCTCTCATGGACACCAAATGTTTGCATACCACTGGTACAGTGAACAGATTTAGCTAAATACTGTAACATTATGGAACAATGTTGTAAACAATGGTGAGCAGGGAGAGGCTATACGGACACTCCTGGCCTGCAAAACTATGACATACAGTGCCTTCGGAAAGAATTCAGACCCCTTGACTTTTTCCACATTTTGTTAGGTTACAGCCTTATTCTAAAATTGATTACATTGTTTTTTCTACACGCAATACCCCATAATGACAAAGCAAAAAACAGGAATTTATACATTTTTGTTAATTTATATATATATATAAAAAAATACTTAAATATCACATTTACATAAGTATTCAGACCCTTTACTCAGTACTTTGTTGAAGCACCTTTGGCAGCGATTACAGCCTCAAGTCTTCTTGGGTGTGACGCTACAAGCTTGGCACACCTGTATTTTGGGAGTTTCTCCCATTCTTCTCTGCAGATCCTCTCAAGCTCCATCAGGTTGGATGGGGAGCATTGCTGCACAGCTATTTCAGGTCTCTCCAGAGATGTTAGATCGGGTTCAAGTCCGGGCTCTGACTGGGCCACTCAAGAACATTCAGAAACTTGTCCCGAAGCCACTCCTGTGTTGTCTTGGCTGTGTGCTTAGGGTCGTTGTCCTGTTGGAAGGTGAAACTTCACCCCAGTCTGTGGTCCTGAGCACTCTGGAGCAGGTTTTCATCAAAGATCTCTCTGTACTTTGCTCCATTCATCTTTGCCTCGATCCTGACTAGTCTCCAAGTCCCTGCCGCTGAAACATATCCCCACAGCATGATGCTGCCACCGCTATGCTTCACCGTAGGGATGGCGCCAGGTTTCCTCCACAAGTGACGCTTGGCATCCCTGACCAAGGCCCTTCTCCCCCGATTGTTCAGTTTGGCCGGGAAGAGTCTTGGTGGTTCCAAACTTCTTCCATTTAAGAATGATGGAGGCCACTGTGTTCTTGGGAACCTTCAATGCTGCAGAAATGTTTTGGTACCCTTCCCCAGATCTGTGCCTCGACACAATCCTGTCTCGGAGCTCTACGGACAATTCCTTCGACCTCATGGCTTGGTTTTTGCTCTGACATGCACTGTCAACTGTGGGACCTTAAATAGACAGGTGTTTGCCTTTCCAAATCATGTTCAATCAATTGAATTTACCACAGGTGGACTCCAATCAAGTTGTAGAAACATCTCAAGGAAGATCAATGGAAACAGGATGCACCTGAGCTCAATTTCGAGTCTCATAGCAAAGTGTCTGAATACTTATATAAATAAGGTATTTCAGTTTTAGAAATATGCAAGAATTTTAAAAACCTGTTTTATTTTATGATGGTTTATTGTGTGTAGATTGCTGAGGGTTTTTATTTATTTAATCCAGTTTTAGAATAAGGCTGTAACGAAACAAAATGTGGAAAAAGTCAAGGAGTCTGAATACTTTCCAAAGGCACAGTATGTCGCACAGCTGAGAGCTGAGTAAACCGAATCACACAGGGTCATGACAGCTAAGGACACGGTGTCAAATCAAATCAAATCAAATCAAATTGTATTTGTCACATACACATGTTTAGCAGATGTTATAGCGGGTGTAGCGATATGCTTGTGCTTCTAGCTCCGACAGTGCAGTAATATCTAACAATTTCACAACATATACCCAATACACACAAAAAAGTAAGGGATGGGATTTAAGAATATATACATACATGGACAAGCAATGACAGAGCGGCATGGACTAAGATACAGAAGAATATTATAGAATAGAATGCAGTATATACAGTGGGGAGAACAAGTATTTGATACACTGCCGATTTTGCAGGTTTTCCTACTTACAAAGCATGTAGAGGTCTGTAATTTTTATCATAGGTACACTTCAACTGTGAGAGACGGAATCTAAAACAAAAATCCAGAAAATCACATTGTATGATTTTTAAGTAATTCATTTGCATTTTATTGCATGACATAAGTATTTGATACATCAGAAAAGCAGAACTTAATATATGGTACAGAAACATTTGTTTGCAATTACAGAGATCATACGTTTCCTGTAGGTCTTGACCTGGTTTGCACACACAGCAGCAGGGATTTTGGCCCACTCCTCCATACAGACCTTCTCCAGATCCTTCAGGTTTTGGGGCTGTCGCTGGGCAATACGTACTTTCAGCTCCCTCCAAAGATTTTCTATTGGGTTCAGGTCTGGAGACTGGCAAGGCCACTCCAAGACCTTGATATGCTTCTTACGGAGCCACTCCTTAGTTGCCCTGGCTGTGTGTTTCGGGTCGTTGTCATGCTGGAAGACCCAGCCACGACCCATCTTCAATGCTCTTACTGAGGGATGGAGGTTGTTGGCCAAGATC